GGTCGTGCAACCGGTTTTTCTGAGAGCCGTTGGATGGCTTTGATCTTGGCCGTTGATGCACGGGTATAGCGGCTATAAATAGTGGGGGTCCTGGTCACTTTTCCCTCGCCAGTCTTTAGCACTTGTTCTTTGAGCTCGTGTCCAAGGTTTTCAGCTCGCGTCACTTTTCCTAGCCCGGTGGCTTTTCCTTGGTGAGTCTCCTTAGCTTTTCTTTCATTTCCTTTCCTTTCAATGCCTAGTTTGGGTAGCTTAGATAGTCTTCTAGGAGAGCCTGAGGTGGGGACCTTAGTTCGTGCTGCTTCTTTCGACAGCCTTCTGGATGAGCCGGAGGTAGGGCCTTCAGTTTGGGTCACCTCTGGCAGCCTGGCATCCACTTCTCGTCGAGTTCGGATGCCAGATAAGTTCGGACCTTCCACTATGACGTCTGAGAGACTTTGGTCTCTGGTTCGTCAGTTCAATATGCCCGGGGAGTACACCTATAGTTTACCTACGGGCGACTTCCCCTGGGAGCACGGTTCGAATGAGATCGTGATTTTCTGGGAGCAGCTCGTCGTCGGGCTGCGCCTTCCACTTCATTCCCTTATCGTCGAGGTCTTGAATCACTTTGGCGTCACCGTTGGTCAACTCCACCCGAACTTCATCCGCAACGTCGTTGGGACCATCTCCCTCTGTTGTGAATATGTCCTCCCACTAGACTTAGAAATTTTCTCCGCCCTCCTCACGATTAAGAAGCATGCGAGCTTCCTCCCCGAGCACAGGCGGGCCTATTACTTGTCTCCCCGCCCGGGGTTTAAACTTCTACACGAGCTTCCAAATAAGGTCCCAGCGTGGAAGCGGGACTACTTTGTGGTCCGAAGTGCTGCGGGGTGGTCGTTCCCTACCCATTGGAGGGCGGCTATTCACGACCCCGATGCCATGTTAGACAAGGACATGGCGGAGATCTTCCAGTCTTGGGCCCAGCTCGGGTTCGAGTGCAAAGATTACCTTACGAAGGCTAAGCTTATCCAGGCCGGTCTGAGTCCGGGTAGGTTTCTTAGACGATTTTTTTTTTTTACTGATACCGAGATCTTTTCGCAGGTGTCATGGTGCAGGAGAAGACTCGTGGCGACAACTTGCTCGATGGGATGAAGAGAAGAAAGCGGGTTACTAAGCAGGTTCGCGTCGAGTCTCCTCGGGCTGTGGAGCCCGAAGTCCCAAGCCATCCACCAGTCATCAACCTGGAGTCTCCCAGGGAGCCCGAGGTGGCCGGGCCTGATCCGGAGGTTGCGGCGGAGCCCGAGGTTGCAGAGGCTCGGAACGTCGATACTACGGAAGCTTCCCATACTCAGACGGTATTCTCCAACTCGGGGAGCCAGGAGGGGGTCGGTAGTGTGCTGACATCGAGTTGTGCTCTCCGTAAGTGCAAAAAGGTCGTCTATCCTGCGGAGGTTTCGGAATGGGCTGACCTTCCTCCAGGTCACATCAGCACACGCACTGCGTCTCATGCCATGGTGGTAAGTCGAAGTGGTTTCCCTTGGTGTTTTTCCTATGCTTTATTATTCTCTTCTTGCCAGGCTGACTTGTTTCTCACTTGGCAGGTGAACACCTCCATCCATGCCCTAACTATTCAATCGGAGAGGAACTTGAAGCGGACTCAAGCTGCTAAAGAGGCTTCCCGTGCAGCACAAACCGAGCTGAGGATAGCTTGGGAGCGGATCTATCGTCTCGAGGGTGACACTTCGGCTCAGAAGAATGCCATTGAGACCTTGACATCGGAGAAGGTCGCAATGGACCGCGAGTTGGAGAGGCTTCGAAGGGAGAACGGGGCCTTGAGGATTGTTGTAAAGCACCTCGCGAACTCAAAAGGGGTCTTGGAGCACGAGGTGGAATACCTTAAGGCCGATATCAAGGAAAAGTCCGAGATCTTCTTCCAAGCCATCGAGGATAATGAAGTGAAGGCCGTCGAAGACTACATCGCGTCGGAGCGCTTTGACGACCTGATGGTGGGCTCGTATCGGAGGGGTTTCAAATTGAGCAGGTGGATGATAAGGCATACGTACCCCGGACTCGACACCCGTGCTATAACCACATCGCGCATTACTCTAGAGATGGCTCTCGCGGCTGACGACGACCCGGACTCCGAAGATGAAGTAGACGCCTCGAGTGCCGCCGAAGTTTCTTTTGATGACTTGGGCGAGGGAGGTGTGCCTCCGAAGTGATATGTGCCGAGCCTGTGAGCTCATTTTTTCTTTTTGTCTTTGCATTAAACCAATTGTAAATGAAACATTGGTAATGAAATACCCTTTTTGGTTAAGTGTTGTGCACTGCCATTCTTTCTTTTTGCCGAAGTGACTATATTGCCGAACTGTTAGAATTAGGTCCCCAAAGCGAGGGGGTTTCTCGAGGCGAGTTAACATAGTAAGGCTATACGCCCGATCTGTTCTCCGCCTGGGTCAAAGTTGATATCGGTTGTCTTTAACAGGCCTGACTCGGAGCGGGCTATGCACCTCGGGCTTCGTACCCGTGCTGCTTGCTCTTTCGGCACTAACACTTGGTCTACGTTGATGAGGTGCCGAGGTCATCATTAGCTCGGCGCTTTAGCCCTTTGGCTAGAATACTTTCCTAGGGTTTGCCCATGCCGAAGAGGCGACTAGGTCTTACGGTGCCGAGGTTCTTGTTACCTCGTCATTTTGGCCCTTAGGCTCTGGGAGCGGCTCATAGTCCACTTAGTTCAGTAATTTACAGGTAATATCGCCTTAAGTTGACGATATTCCATGTCCGGGGTATTTGTTTACCCTCCAGGGTTTTGAGCTCGTACGCTCATCCGAGCGCTCTCTTTACTCGGTAGGGTCCTTCCCAGTTTGGTTCGAGCTTGCCTACGCCGGGCTCAGGTACCATGACCTTGCGGAGAACCAGGTTGCCGACGCGGAAGTTTCGCTTCTCGACTCTGGCATTGTAGTACCAAGCTACCCTTTGCTGGTACGTTGCGGTCCTGATGTAGGCGAGGTCCCTCACCTCATCGAGTAGGTCGAGGTTGGTACGTAGCTCATCTTCATTGGTCTTGTCACTGTACGCTTCCAGTCGTAATGAGGGGATTTCGATTTCGGCTGGGATGACTGCCTCCGTGCCGTAGGTGAGGTTGAAGGGAGTTTCTCCGGTTGCGGTCTTCTCTGTAGTTCGGTAGGCCCATAGGACGCTGGGTAGCTCGTCCGCCCATAATCCTTTAGCTCGGTCTAGCCTGACCTTCAGTCTGCGGAGGATAGCTCTGTTCGTGACTTCTGCTTGACCGTTTGCTTGCAGGTGCGCGACCGACGTGAAGTTCTGCCGAATCCCCTCGTCTTGGCACCATTCCTGGAATTTGATACCTCAGTACCCGAGGTAACCCAAAGCAGCACACTATGTTCTTCCAAAAGCTCTGGACGTTTCGAGTTGTGATTGTCACGAGAGGTTCAGCTTCTACCCACTTTGTGAAGTAATCTACCGCCACTACTTGGAACTTCCTCCCACCTGTTGCTGGCGAGAATGACTCAAGTAGGTCGATGCCCCATTGTGCAAAGGGCCATGGACTGGTGAGATACTTGAGATCAACGGCGGGCTGATGGTGGATATTGGCATGCTTCTGGCACTTATCGCATTTTCTGACTAACTCAACGGCGTCTGCTTTCATTGTTGGCCAATAGTACCCTTGTTGTAGTGCTTTTTGAGCGAGGGCCCTACCCCCCAGGTGTCTGCCGCACAGGCCCTCATGAATGTCGTGGAGTACAAGCTCGGCTTCGGAAGGCCGCAAGCAGTGCAGGTAGGGGAGCGTGTAGGATTTTCGGTACAACCGTCCGTCTATTATGACGTATTTGGCTGCCTGGTACTCTAACCTCCTGGTGGCATTGCGGTTTGCGGGGAGGGTCCCATGTAGCAGGAAGCTCGCAAGTGGATCGATCCATCTCAGCTCTGCTTGGACGACAGGAGCTACCTCCTCTGCCCCCCGAGAATGCTAGGCCGAGGTAAATCTTCTATGTACACGGTCCTCATGGTGTTATCACTGGTGCTGGCTAACCGGGACAGGGCATCGGCCTTAGCATTCTCCGACCTCGGGATTTGCCTGATGAAGTGTGACTGGAAGTTAAGCAGAGCTTCATTTACTTTGGCCAAGTAGGCGATCATAGTCAGTTTGCGGGCTTCGTATTCGCTTGTAACCTGATTGACCACGAGCTGGGAGTCGCTGCAGATGACGATGTGTTTAGCTCTTACTTGTTGGGCCAGGACTAGCCCGACTATCAATGCTTCATACTCCGCCTCGTTATTGGATGCCGCGAACTCGAAGCGTAGTGCGTGCTCCAGTTTTGTGCCACTCGGACTGTGCAGAATTATTCCGGCTCTGCTGCCCTACTGATTCGAGGAGCCATCTATGTGAAGGATCCAGAGCTCTTCATCCTAGTTCGCGCTTGGCCTAACCAGGAGAGATACCGAACTGGGTGCGACCTAACGGTGCTCGGACTCAACCGGCCTGGGAGCATCGAGCTCGCCCGAATTGGGGGCTTCGGGCTTAATCGGGCTAGGGACTTCGGAGCTGAATGTGCACTCTGCAACAAAATCCACCAAGGCTTGGGCCTTGATAGCAGTTCGCGGCTTGTACTGGAGGTCGTACTCACTGAGCTCGATGGCCCACTTCATCAATCAACCAGAAATCTTGGGCCTGAGTAACACTTGCCTCAGAGGTTTGTCGGTGAGGACGATAATGGTATGGGCTTGGAAGTACGGGTGGAGCTTGCGGGCTGCAATGACCAATGCGTAGGCTACTTTTTCTATCTCTGGATATCTCATCTCCGTTCCCTGCAATACTTTACTAACATAGTAGATGGGTCGTTGGACCCGATTTACTACCTTTATTAGTACTGAGTTGACCACTTCGTCACTTGTTGAGAGATATAGCTCTAGGACATCGCTCTCTTCGGGTCGGGTCAAAATTGGGATACTGGCGAGGTATCTTTTGAGCTCGTCAAACGCGAACTGGCAACCTGGGGTCCATTCGAACCCTTTGCTTTTCATTGCTTTAAAGAAAGGCAGGCAGCAGTCTGTCGACTTGGACATAAAACGACTCAGAGCGGCTATTCTGCCGTTCAACCTCTGAATCTCTTTTACTTTTCGGGGTGGTCTCATATCTAGGATGACCTTTATTTTGTCCGGGTTGGCCTCAATACCGCGCCGGTTGACGGTGTACCCTATGAATTTACCCGAGGTGACACCGAAGACACACTTGTTTGGATTTAGCTTCATGTTAAATTGGCGCATAATTTGAAAGACATGATGCAAATCTTGTATTAACTCATGTGAAAATTGGGTTTTGATGACCATGTCGTCCACATAACATTCTATCTTAGTGCCAATTAAGGGTTTAAACAGCTTATTCAGTCCGAAGGGCATAACCTTGCAAGTCCGAAGGGCATAACCTTAAAACGTGGGTGATCGGCCAACCTACTATGGCATTGTATGGGGTGGGGGTCGCAACCACCAAGAAGTCGTGTTTGAGCCTCACCGTGCTAGGCCACGTGCCGACTTCCACATGTACTGTAACCTTTCCCAGGGGCCTTACTTCCTCTCCGCTGAAGCCGACCTGTGGGGTGTTCGTGGGCTTGAAGTCACTCTCTTGGAACTGGAGTTGGTCGAAAGCTGCTTTGAAAAGGATATCTGCCGAATTGCCTGAATCGACGAGGACGCGTCGGACTTCGAAATCATTGATCTTTACCTTTATGACGAGTGCGTCATCGTGGGGGTAGTGAAATCCACGCGCGTCGTCCTCGGTGAAGAGTATGAGGTCTTCTGTCCTTGGCCGCTTCGGGGGATTCTGCTCTTCTCTGGCGGCCTCACGGGTTGATGCTTGAGCTGCTGCCGAGGTGCAACCTGCTACAATCGACCCTCCAACGATCACATGGATCGTTCCCCGAACTGGCCTTTCTTCCGAGGGTTGCTTCTGCGACTGCTCTACTGGCCTGTTGCTGGACTCGGGGGCATCCCTACTGTGCTCCCCCTGCTGGCTTGCCTTATTGTTATTATTATTACCATTATTCTGTACAAAATTCCTTAGGTATCCGCGACGAATGAGTTCCTCTATCTCGTCGCAGAGATTCTTACAGTGCTCAGTACTATGACCGTGGTCTTTGTGAAAGCTGCAATATAAATTTTTATTCCTTTCATTCGGGTTCCCTCTCAGGCGGGGTGGCCACTTTATGTACGGTGCGTCCTTGATCGCCATCAGGATCTCAGCCTGCTTCGCGTTCAAGGGTGTGTAGTTTGCCTGATCTGCCGCGGGAGCTCRGAACGGCTGACTTGGCTTCGCCCCCCGAGCTGAGTCTTTCTTCCTTCTGTCCTCTTGGTTGGAAGGTTCGCTTTCCCTCTTTCTTTTTTCGAACCCGCCCTCAGCTCTTTGATTGATCTCCTCCTCTGTTCTTATGAACCTGTCTGCGAGCTTGAGGAACTCAGCTATGGTTGCGGGTTGGTTGACCACCATGTGCCATTTGAATTCCTTGTGCGTCACACCCCTCTTGGCCGCTACAAGCTGTACTGCGGGGTCTAGGCGTGGTATCTGTAAGCACGCGTCGTTGAATCGCTTGATATAGCTCCGGATGAACTCCCCTTCCTTATGGACTATACCGAGGAGGCTCTCAGTTCGGGGGCACCGCTTGCTGGTGACGAAGTGCACGGTGAAGACTTGCACGAACTGGGTCCAGCTCCTTATCGACCCGGGGGCCAGGTTCCTATACCAGGTGCGGGCCACTCTTYTGAAGGTGGTAGTGAAGGCCACACACATGCAGGACTCGCTGGCTCTCGTCAGGTGCATCTGGGACTGAAAAGCATCAACATGATCACTCGGGTCAAAGGAACCATCATATTTGTCTAGCGGGGGGAGTTTGAAATCCTTGGGCATGGGGACAACGAGGAGTTCTGATGACGGGGGAAGGGACTGAAAGAATAGGAGTAACCTTTACCTCGTCTGAGCTCGCTTCCTCTTTACGTCTGAGCTCGGGTAGAACGCGGGTGGTAGTTCGGCGAGCTCGTCGACGCCTCCGCGGCTGCTTGGAAGGCTCGGTGTTGGCGCTGCTCGCTTTGGTTTTGACGATCTTAATGGGCCCGGACTGTTGGTGGTAGTCTGCGGCTAAGGCGCGGAATTGGTTTTCCGCGAGCGGGAGCCCGAATTGAGAGCGCCGAGGTGATGCTGACTTGATAGGT